AAGACTCGTTATCCTATCGAAGAAAGCTATCAGATTGGTTTGACATGGTACTTAGAAGTAGCAAGCAGCACTCAATCAGCTGCAAAAATGTAATCTTTGAAAGTAGACAGTTAAACAGAAAAAAGGTTTAGGGAAATTTGAGTAGGAAGATGTTGACAGCAAGAAATTAACAGGCCTTAAGGAAATCCCGCTAACTTTCTGCACACAATTATACCCTTTCCATGAATGTAGAGAGTTCAAACAAACAATAACTTTGCACCAACTGAACACACAATAATACAACATATTTCGTCATCAGAGAACCATACTTTTCTCGGAGTTCTGCCTCTTTCGTCACGGTCTCCTGCAGCATTTTATTGTGCCGTTCCAGCAGGGTGTCATGTTCAGACTGCAATGCTTGAAGTTCAGTTACATTGATTTGTAAATTATGCTGGGCATCTTGTAACTTTACTTTTAGTTGGTCTATCACCATTTCCATGTGTTCTCTAAGGAAAAAAACGATAGATACTTTAAAGAGAGTTATCCCATTTCAGAACCACCAAATGTATCATTAATATGTTGGGTAATCTATTCTATTAGATCTGAATTACCTTTTCATTACACTAAATGATTTGAATGATTCAGTGTTATGACGGAAATCTTTCTAGAATCTAACCCTAGCTGAAATGACAACAAAACAGCTGATTTCGGGATTGTCCCGGGAACACATGGCTTGCTTGTGTCCCATTGTTCCTGGAACAGCTTGAAGCATTGCCTGATTAAAGGGGGGTGGGGGAAGAGGAGTGAAAGAGTGTTGTTAATAATCCTTTCAGCATTAGATAAGTTATGGGCGACAAAGCTAGAGAAGCTGTGGGTGGGAAGGAAAATAGATAATGGGTGGGGTGCAGGTTTAGGTAAGAAATGTCTCTTGGGCGTTTTTTGTATTTGTTTGTTTTGTGCCAGCCTGGCAGGGGTGAACACAAGGTACAGGAAAGAAACAGGAGAAGGTTGTGAAAAATTGGGTTGAGGGGGAGGGGGAAGGTGGCAACCCACAAAAATTAACACCAGAAAAACCAGTCAGTGTGCTATATTCAGATAAATTGATTCAGGCAAGAGAAACTAGAGGAAAAAGGCCAACTCACCTGTCCCAATTTTGAGAAAAATACAACTTTAAGAACCTGCAAGCTTATTCAAGCTCTTAGTCCTTACTGATGTGAATAATTCTATTGACTTCTAAAATGAACTATTTGTATGGTTAAGAGTTGTAAAAATAACCCTTTAATTCGGGGAGTAATCCTTCCTTTGAAATTTTATCCTGTATTATTCAACTGTTGATCAAACTGTCCAACTTACAAATTTCTGAAATTAACCCTTCCCCAACAGCCTATGTCCAGTAGTAACAGAACACTGCTTCCCATCAGAATTCCTCTGCTGGCAAAAGGGGAAGATAAGTAAACGAGACTCCCTTGCAATGATCTCGTTTCAAAGAAACTCATGCTCTGACTAGCTAGAATCTGATGAAGAATTCCTCCGAATTCTCAGTATCTTTTTTTTTTTTTTTTTAAAATAGGCAACAGCTCAGATGCTATTTAATAGTTTCTAACAGGGATCCCCCCCTAACGAATCATAGGACTCCCTCTGCTGGATCTGCAGCAGTATTTCCAGACCTGTGCCAAAGATCAGTTAACCATGGCTAAGACTAAGATTCTGTCATGCATATTTTTAGTAAAAGTCACGGACAGGTCATGGGCAATAAAGAAAAAAAAAATCACAGAAGCCTGTGACCTATCTGTGACTTTTACTAAAAATATGCATGACAAAATGGGGAGCTGCAGGCTCCCCACATCAACCAAGGGGCATGGCTCAGAGGTGCAAGGTCCCCCCACCACCTGTGGTGGCTCTGAACCCCGGGACGCCCGCGGCAGCTCCGAGCCCCAGGGTGCCCGTGGAACTCAGAAGCTGCGGGGCACCCCTGCTGCCCGTGATGGCTGGGACTTCCTGGGAGCCCTGCTGCCCGCAGTGGTGGGGAGTTTGGGGTCTCCTCACTGCCTCAGTGCTCCGGGCACCCCTGCCTCCATCCCGGCTGGGAGCTCAGGCCCCCACAGTCCCCAGCCACCAGGGGTGTCGGGGTCCCCTACAGCTCCCAGGCGCTGGGGTCTCAAGTCACAGAGGTCTCTGGAAGTCATGGATTCTGTGACTTCCGTGACAAAATTGTAGCCCTAACCATGGCTTATGCACAATGACTGTCATTTTAGGACACTGACTGCTTTTTGACTATGACCATCAGGAATGGTCACCCTGAAACAGATAACTGCTAGTGTAGATCCCACGTGGAATTAAGTCTAAGACTTTCTGAAACTGCATTGAATTTGTCTGGCCTATACTTGCATTTAAAAGTTTTCAGTACTAGTTCAGTTCACCTTTTCACCATGTTTATGCCAGGAAAAGTTTACAAGAAAAAGGGTAACAATGGGTAAAACTGTTGTGTATGCAAGTTTTCTGGGACTGGAACTGTTTAGTTTTTTTTTTTTTTAAACCGCCATGTCAGTTAACCTTGCTGAAAGCAAGTCTAATTGACATGCTGTTAAGAACTGGACTGGCCCCTGGAGCATTGCCTACACTCGCCTTTCGCTGATGCTAACAATGGTTCAGTTGAGCTGGTGTGAACAGCAGCTTTTTTGTAAGGAAGGTTGTAGCTGAAAACCATTTTCAACAGTACATTTTCATGCCACAAATCAGGCTTACACTGAAACTGTTGACCAAAAGGCAGACGTTCGTTTCAGCTTCATTCTGAACCTCAAGGGTCCATCCCCCATCCAAGCGGGGACAAGAGAAAACAGATAATCCATGCAGGAAAAAAAAGTGTTTCAGGTTTTGGTGAGGGAGAAGGTGGAGAAAGGGAGTGTAAACATACATTCATTCAGGAATAAAGGTTACCTGTTTTCTTTTAAATCCAGAAAATAAAGCTTTACTCTAAGATATCTGTGTTATATAGCTATATAGAAACAAAATGTAAATGTATCAAACTCAAAGTGTTTTGCCAACAGCCATTATGTTCAAACTAGGAGTCCCAGCACTAGTTACTGAAAAAGGGATATGGTCAACTTGGAAATCAAGTGATTTATATATGGAGATATACCTATCTCCTAGAACTGGAAGGGACCCCGAAAGGTCATCGAGTCCAGCCCCCTGCCTTCACTAGCAGGATCAAGTACCGATTTTTGCCCCAGATCCCTAAGTGGCCCCCTCAAGGATTTAACTCCCAACCCTGGGTTTTGCAGGCCAATGCTCAAACCACTGAGCTGTCCCTTCCCCCATTTCTAATAATGAGTTAAAATTAGATTCAGGTTTTAAATCTGTGCTTGAGTTTTCCTGCCAGTTTTTTGGGTTTGATAGTCACAACACTATTCCCTCACCCACCAGTATTTTTTTTTCATGTGGAAGACCCCACAGAAACAGGAGAAACTGGCTGACTATATATTATTTATTTGTATTACTGTAGTACCTAGTAGCCCTCGGGGAAATAGTGAAAATTTTTTGTTTTTCAGAGTAATATCAAATGCAGAATGTAATCTTAGTGAAAAATAGGGATTTTAAAAATCTTTTAGCTATAGTAACATAGATTTGTGAAAAATTTTTAGACTGAAATGTGCTTTATAAGTTGATGGTATCCTTTTAAAGTGTTCTGTCTGGGTATTTCAGTAATCCTCAGTTATAAAATATGAATGCCAAAAATTAGATGTGAACCAAGAATCATCACATAGATGAATATTTCTGTCACATTACTGCAGTTTGTTAGCCAAAAAGACTACTGAAGTGGATTTCTCATCCCCCTGCCCCTTTATTTAAATAGGTATACAATAGCAAAAAAAGTCTTGCTTATTGTTGGCTTCATTAGGCTTTGACTACCGAGCACTTATAGACATAATTTTTACCTTTCTTGCTTGGCTCCCTCAGTTTCAGTCTGAGAAGCAGATTTATTCTTTTGTTGTTTTAAAACATTATGAACACGGACTTTGTAGCTTTCAAATTCAGAGGTAACAGCAACTTGTTCTGCCTATAATGTGAAAAAAGAAAACCCTGAATTATATATGCCACTTATTTATATAAAACCAAATAGTTTCAGTTTTACTTTGTGATCCACGTGCATATTACATTGTTTAAAGATCAAGAAATATGAACAGTTGCATTTCCTTTTTTGTTGTGTTGAATAGATGATTAAAATGGTTAATATATCACCTAAGAGAGCCAGTTCATTTAAAATGCAATATTCCATGATTGGTAGGTAAACTTTTTTTGGTATAGGGAGAACATTAGTGTTAATCACATCTGTCTTTCAGACAGTTTACAAATACACAATTTTATATAATATATTGTAACATACAAATAGTACTATAAAACATTACAAAGTCCTTAAAAATAAAAACTACCACCAACAAAATATTATAAACAGCAACTCCAAAACAAGATGGCGATAGAAACAACACAGACAATCATTTCCTCTGTCAACACACAGGCTTTGTCATAGTCAGTCACTGTTACAGTCATAATCAGACATCTATTTGTACTAAGACTGGATTTCTGAGTCATTCTGGTATTTTTGTTCAAGAAAACAAGATGGAAAAATTCCATACTTTGTTTTTAAAAAAAGTATATACTGTTTATTTTCTGTTTTTTTACTATGCTTATACTAAAATCACTTAACATGTAAATTAAAGTTATGTTGATGTAAATTTCCTGCCATTAAAAAAAGAGTCAGGTAGCTTCATCTTTGACCACGACTCCTACAGCCAGAAGAGTGTGTATTAAACACACTGACTTGACAAGCACTGCTCATCCAGTATTCAATGTTTTGTGCTCCCCCTTCTCTAAAAATACCTTCTGTGCATGATTTTCTCCCCTGAATCTCAGCAAGTGGCTGGTGGAATTCCCATAGCTTGTGAATTGTTTTTTTTTTTAAAAACATTGAGGGCAACACATGTCATGCCCTCTACTGGATGTAATACACCACCCCCTGCTAAATATAAATACGTCTCTCTGAATGTTCCAGTCGTTTCTTAACTGTGGTTGGTGAAGGGGCTTCCATGGGGAGATTGTACTTCAACAGCCATTGCTACAGCTCTTCTGGCTCCAGTGATGTTCGTCAATATAATTTTTTTTTAAACAAGTCCTTCACTTTTCCTTTCATTCAGGCACTTGAGTTACAGTAATCCACCCCCAAAATATTTGATAAGCAGCCTTTGTTGTATTCGATGCATCTTCATTTGCTCTGCTGTTTTTGCACCTAATTTCTTAGTTGTGACTTGGCAACTATCTTGATGCTCATCTTTTCATTGGTCACGTGGTCCTCTGAGGTGTCAGTACACTTTTTCTTTTGCAGACATAGTATGCAAGAAAGAGGGCTGGCCACACAACAGCTTCATACCATGTCAGTGTGGCAGAACTACATCCAGGATGGATGCTTTGCATTGTCCATGAAGGAATTAGCCATGATGTGTGGAAATGCCCAATGAGTCTACAAAGGTTGCCCTGGATAGCGAAGAAATTTGGTGAGCTGAGTGCCCCCAAACTTTCCTTGAGGCATTCCTATAGGTCTGGCTCCAAGAAACTCTCCCCCTTACAGCTTGGCTTCTGACAGATTAGAGGTTTGTAGGTATGGTGTGTTCAAGCAGCTGATTCAGAAGCCATCTACTAAATAGGACCTAGGGCTTCCCGTGGGAAAGGTTTGTAAGTCTAGTACAATAAGGCCCATATGGACTCCTTTACTTGCGCCACAAAAACTGCTTGACTACTTTCTTCGCCTGTCTCAGTCTATTATATAGACTAACTCCTTCCAGAAATATCTTTTTTGGCTTATCATGAACCAGTCTCAGGTAGAAGTGTGTCTCTGCAACCCTTTGTCATTTCATGCTGGGCTCAACACTTCTGAAACCTCCAATTAAAAAAAAAAAAAACCTCTGCAGTGAAATGCAAATGTGGTCCTGATGAAAGCTTCTTTAAAACACTAATTCCTATGAACTTACGTTTCTTACACTGACAGTCATTTTACTGGTGCTAGTGAATGGACACACCTTATACCAGATTCATTTTTACAAGGATAAGGTGGTAACATGGACTCACTTGAGATTCCCATCCGAAGTTATGTTAGTGTTCCACCATCAGTGTCAGAAATCCTTGGGAGTCTATTTGGAGCAGACTAACTCCACCCAATTTTATTTGATTAAGAAACCAAATTTGCTGAGCAATGCTGTCACAAAGAGAACTATGTTCCAAAGGCATTTCACATTGCTATTATCTGGAAGCCATGTCAAGGCCTATTTGATTAGATGGATGTATCCACCACAGAGAATTGCACAGCCGCTATTTGGTCCTCTCTCCAGACATTTACAAAGTATTACTCCTTGTATTCAGTTTCCAGAAGACGCTCTGTGCTCTAGAACTTTTCCAAGATGGGGGATTCCAGACGTTTGCCTCCCGTAAGAAGAATTTTATGTTAAGATGTCCTTTATTTTCAGCATGGAATTCTCTCAAATTGCGATCTCTTCCCACAGACTTGAATGTTGTTACACCTCTTACTGTTTATGCTAAATATTAACAAAAACCTCTACCTCTTCACACAGTTGGCACTAGCTTTGCTATTGCTGGTCATTGCGCCTCTACTCATGTTCATTTGGGATGTGAGAATCCTGCAAAAATAATATCTTCAAAAGAGAAAATTACTTATTTTTGAACTCTGCTTTTCAGACGATGTTGTCTTTAGGACACTCCCTTACCCGCCTCCCTCACAGAGTTTGGAGTTTCTGGTTTGTGAGGTTATTTTCTTTTTTCCTCCAAGGCACACATATGTTGATCATCTTGAGGCGGCTTCTTTTTCTGGGAGCTGTTGTATATTAATTTAAATGGAATAAATGGGCCAAAGGTGTTAACATAACCCAGTCACTGCCTATCATTAAACAGAGTTAAACGAGGTTTGGGGTTTGGTATAGATAGACCTCAGTCTACTTAGGACTATGGTAAACACATGAAAAATCTTTTTAACAATTTATTAAAGTTACAGAAAAGGAAACATAGTTAAAGCATTTGAAATGTATTTTAACAGCATTTTTTGTTCCTTTTTCCTTTAGCTGGAGAGAAGTTTAAATGAAAAATCCCCTAGTTTGACCATTTCTCAGATGGTAATAACTATCCTCTTGGGAAAAAGAGACGACGTTAGCTGAGATGGGCTGGAGCTGTTGTTGCTGCTGTTAAAGTCTGATCCTATTTTATCTCTAGTGGTATCTGGGATTCAGATGGCTAGTAGGAGTGGCGATCTCATCTGGATCCCTCTTCTCTGGCTTGGTCTGGTCAGGACATTACTCAGGATTTGTATGATGGAAGGCTGCCAGGAGATGGTGGCGGGGGCAGCTATGATAGTGAAGCTTGCTTCAGTAGCCTCTGTCTGTCTTCTCCTATTTTCCCCCTAAGTTTTTTTCTTTAAAGGACCCACAAAAGGAACGATGGGTGGAATACCCCATCCCCTCATTATTTTGCCCATCAATTAGGCCTAATATTTGAAAACAATTTTGGTTCATTAAATTTCTGGTTCTACATTTTTTATTTTTACCTAGCATGATTTCAATTTAATCCTTGAATTATATCTATGTGGCCTTTTTTTGTTTGCACTAATTGAGTCTCTCTCTGTCCAGGTCTCTTGCAGCTGTTTATAACATTCGTTATTGAAAGCAACTTGACGTACTTCCCATCTTAAAGAGCTCTGTGTAGCTCAAAAGCTTGCCTCTTCCACCAACAAACGTTGGTCCAATAACAGATATTACCTCACCCAGCTGGTCTCTTTACTTTCCATCAACATTTGTTATTATATCATCTTACAAACTTTTACATACTTTTTACAATTGAGCTCACTATTACAGTACATTTGTCAGCCCAATTATCACAACAGAGCCTCAGCTCTGGTGCAGTCAAAGAAACTGACTATAGTGTTTGGATGGCAGCATTTATATTCCACGGAGGACGATGCAAAACAAGTAGTAAAAGGCCTAACTTGTGCTCTATGCTGCTATTGCTGAAAAGGTCAAAAACCATTACAAGTTAGGAGAATTCCTTCCAGTCATCTGCCAAGGAGCTAAGATCCAGGAGTAAGAATCCTGCAAGACGATAGCTTTAGAGAAGCAAAAGTGCAAGTTCAGTAACTTTGTCTTTTAACAGTCTAAAGAGCTATTACTTATTTTATGAAAAAGTACCTTTGCTGTGTTGCATTCTTCTTGTAGGGTTGCAATTTTCTGCTGGTAAGCATTCAGAGTGCGCTGGTGTTGCTCCAAAGAGGTCCGCAGATGTTCTTGAATCTTGTGTTTTTCTGACGTTAGTTCAGCCAGCTGAATCTGAAAATGAGCACGCACTTCAACAAAACTAGAATGTAGTCTTTAGAATTGACTCTTCTTTTCATTAGGTGAACAGAGAATGAAACAAAGCATCTAGATATATATTCTGGTGATGGGAAACCTAGAAATGACTAGATACAATAAAATTAAAATCTGGTTTTAAAAAATATTAATGTGAAGAAGGCATATGTTGGAATGTATCTGAGCAGTACCACACGCATCATTTATCATTTGAATCTTACTTAAAATAATGGGAAGAAATGTGCAGACAAATTTTTCTAGAGAATTATTTCATTTTTTCTCAATCACTTTTTTTTTTTTTTTTTTTTAATTTTAAAGCACAATCCCTATTTTCTGTAAATCAACAAATGTGTCATTTGGCAGCAAGGCAGATGCCTGTTACTAGCTATCAAAATTCATACTGATGAAAATTAACCTTATATTAAGGCTTTTTGCTGGCAATGTGTTTTAAATAAAATACTTTTTTTAAAAAGCAAAGTTTAATTAATTAGGGCCAAAGGTAGATTAAAAAAATATATCCTTGTCATAGGACTTGGATTCCCTAATTCTCTTTTGAGAGATTAAAAATAAAAGGGAGAAAGCAGCAAGCCAACTGAATATCTGAACTGACGTGCATCAATTCTGAAACATAACAGCAGCAGCACTTACACTTTACAGGGCTTTATACTTGAAACATCAGAAAAAAGATGCAGAAGGACAGTCAGATATAGTTTTATATAGTATATATAGAAATTGTACTATTTACTCCAATTTCACCACTCATGCCATCACACAAACCCCAAACAATGATTTCAGCAATGTTAAAGCAGATTAAATTCTCAAATGAATGGACTGTGAGTCAGATATGCCTCATATGAAAGTAACAGATCAGCACATCTGACAATATGACAGATGAACTGATCTGTAGATATAAGAGCATATGAGGTTTAAGCACAGGGCTAGAAGACAGGTGATCCTGAGTTCTAATCCTGCCTCTGTCACAGATTTGCTGTGTAGCTTTGGCCAAATCACTTCATCTCCCTGCCTCAGTCTCCCTGCTGTGAAACAGGGATAATAATACACACAACTACCTCCCTTGCAGGGCTATTGTAAGGAGTAACTAGGGTCTGTGAAGTGCTTTGTAAATTTAAAATGCTGGAGCATGTGTAGGTATATGAGGTTGTGTGTGACTGCATAAGTGATGAAGTTGGGGGTACATATTGCTTTTCAACATCTGTCGGAGATGAAAGTGAAAAATCTTAA